AGAGAGAGAGAGCGATAGACTCCAGAAAAAGCCTATACAGAGAGAGGAAGAGGACAAACACAAAGCATATCTCCTTTCTATTTTGCAACGCTTAATGCGCCGGTTGTGGGCAATAGAGCATGGGGGGTGGGGGCCAAAAAACCACACCCAAGCCAGTCCTTCGTGGCCCACCGCGATGCAGAAATGCCTGAAGAGATAACAGAGACGTTCGTTAAAAGGCCAAAGTAAGCAAGAAGAGCGCCCATAAATACACCCCCTCAGAACGTAAGTTCTAGTTTACGATCTTGGATGCCTTTACAGACCCCTCCTCAGAGCAGTAGCTGGGTTGGAATTCTCTTAGGCAGCCGGGTCAGTTTAGACTGCAGACTGCCCTGCCAGGGTTCCTCCAGGCTTTAACTAGCCTTCCGCGATAAAAATCCGAAGGGCCATTTCCATGAATGGGAACGGCCTTAAGAGCGCCCTGGGATCGCTCTTCGAATCCCTTTTATTGCAAAGAAGTTTGTGCAGGAGGCATTCCTGCTACAATGGAAGATTAAGTGATAGCAATAGCAACGTAGCAGTAGTAGGAATATTTCCAAACTTTTACGAAGTAGGACATTTTAATTACTGATCGCCCATAATTCTGAAAAGCGATGCAAGGGAGACATGATAAGTATACCCATGTTACCCATATCCAAATACATGCAAGAATATGTCTCTGTACTGAGTCTCGAGAGTGGAAGGGAAAGAAGCACACACACACACACACACACACCCATCTTCAACTCTGCAGACATTAAAGAACCACGTATCTCTCTTTTTCAATGTGCCAGGTGCAAGTCAAGTGGCTAACCTCTCAACCCGGCAAACCATGTAAATGTAATTAATCCGCAGAAGAGGGAATTGATCCTCTGATCCTATGCATGTTTGCTCGTCCTATTGAATTAAACGGCTTCAATTTCCAAATAGGCAGTCGTGGGATTGTATTTATTTATTTGTTTGTTTAGCCTGAGCTGAGTAACAAATTTGGGCTGGGAAAAAAGAAGTGAGAAGAAATCTCAGAAGGGGAAAGAGCGGAGCAATTTTAAATTTAGCACCCTACTCGTGGGGCTGTATTTTCACACTATCTGTCTCATCGCTTCGGAAGGACCTTCTTCGAGGAGAAATGGTTCAGGGCAGGACGCCACTGCCAAAGGCACCGGCATACCTCGCCGGCGTCAACTCCAAACGTCCGCCGCTCTTGCTCAGGCGACCGAGAGAGAAGCAACTCCAGGAGGAGGGCGCTAATTGTGTCTCTCGGCGCTCGGGCGGGGGCGGGGGCAGAAGTTAAGCGAGACCCTCGAAAGGGCCTTAGAAAGAGGACTGGGGCCCCTAGAAGATTGTCTCAAACTGAAGCTCAGTAGGGAAGTCCTCAGGTGTCCCTCCCATCCCCTTCCTGGTGTCCTTGGTAATGTCCCTGGCTGACTTTTTTTTTTAAACTAGGCGGCTCGAAGGGAGAGAACGCAGCCACCTGGCTCACTGCGAAAAGCGGTAGGAAGAAGCGGTGCCCTTACACCAAGCACCAAACGCTGGAGCTGGAGAAAGAGTTTTTGTTCAATATGTACCTGACTCGTGAGCGTCGCCTAGAAATCAGCCGTAGCGTCCACCTCACGGATAGACAAGTTAAAATCTGGTTTCAGAACCGCAGAATGAAGCTGAAGAAAATGAACAGAGAGAATCGGATTCGGGAGCTCACAGCCAACTTCAGTTTCTCCTGATGGATCTATGGACGCCTTTGAATGGTCTAAACAGCCAGTACGATCCTGCACCCCACCCCACCCCACCCCACCCCACCCCATCTGGTCAGGCTTTAAGCTATTGGCATCTGTGTGGATCTGAACCTTTCGATCCCATTCTCAGTCTCTCCATAGTCCTTTGTGATTGATTTTGTTGGGATAAAGCCATAACAAGGCATAACCCCGCATTCCTTCTGGACTGCCCTTCTTCTGTTCTTACTTCTGGAGAGCCTGGCGCTGAGAAATAGGATTTCCAAAACCCTATGTGCCTATTCAATTTTCCTTACCTACCCCTTAAAAAAACAAACAAACAAACAAAAACAATCAGAAAAGAAACCTAGCCAAAGGAAAGGTGCATTCCGAACCTCTCCGCTAAGCTATGCCATATGTTGCGAACTGGGGTTGAGTGTCGTTTTCAATCATTTAAACATTTGACCACACCACCCCAAATATGGATCGGGTTTGATATTATTATTATTATTATTATTATTATTATTATTATTATTTTCATTTTCTTGTGCAGCCAATGTTAAGCAGCCATTGTGGAAAGAAAAAAAGATCAGACTGTACGGTGTAAGAAGCCAAAACTGTTCATGTGTTTACTCATTTATTTTCCTAAATGCTTAATATTGCAGCTTTAAAAGTTTCCTTGGGAAAGAGAGAGAGAGAGAGAGAGAGAGAGAGAGAGAGAGAGAGAGAGAGGAACTGCTCCCCTCTTCTCTTGAAAGATAAGAACAGTTTTATGTTCCTTAATGGTTAAATTATTACATTTTCTGGTTGTAGGTAATGACTGAAAGTTGTTTTTGCTTTAGATAAATGGTTCTTATCATTCCTTATGCTTGACAAGCACATACAAAGAAAGATACGAAGGAACATTTATCTGAATGGAAAAAGGGGTGGAAGACCCCAATTTTGCCCATTCTGTTCCTAGAGATGTTTTATTTATATATAT